GTGGAGCGGCTGAGGGGATGGCTTTTGTGGGAGGTATACGAGTGTGGAGCGGCTGAGGGGATGGCTCTTGGCGGAGGGATACGTGTGTGGAGCGGCTCAGGGGATGGCTCTTGGCGGAGGGATACGTGTGTGGAGCGGCTCAGGGGATGGCTCTTGGCGGAGGGATACGTGTGTGGAGCGGCTCAGGGGATGGCTCTTGGCGGAGGGATACGTGTGTGGAGCGGCTCAGGGGATGGCTCTTGGCGGAGGGATACGTGTGTGGAGCGGCTCAGGGGATGGCTCTTGGCGGAGGGATACGTGTGTGGAGCGGCTCAGGGGATGGCTCTTGGCGGAGGGATACGTGTGTGGAGCGGCTCAGGGGATGGCTCTTGGCGGAGGGATACGTGTGTGGAGCGGCTCAGGGGATGGCTCTTGGCGGAGGGATACGTGTGTGGAGCGGCTCAGGGGATGGCTCTTGGCGGAGGGATACGTGTGTGGAGCGGCTCAGGGGATGGCTCTTGGCGGAGGGATACGTGTGTGGAGCGGCTCAGGGGATGGCTCTTGGCGGAGGGATACGTGTGTGGAGCGGCTCAGGGGATGGCTCTTGGCGGAGGGATACGTGTGTGGAGCGGCTCAGGGGATGGCTCTTGGCGGAGGGATACGTGTGTGGAGCGGCTCAGGGGATGGCTCTTGGCGGAGGGATACGTGTGTGGAGCGGCTCAGGGGATGGCTCTTGGCGGAGGGATACGTGTGTGGAGCGGCTCAGGGGATGGCTCTTGGCGGAGGGATACGTGTGTGGAGCGGCTCAGGGGATGGCTCTTGGCGGAGGGATACGTGTGTGGAGCGGCTCAGGGGATGGCTCTTGGCGGAGGGATACGTGTGTGGAGCGGCTCAGGGGATGGCTCTTGGCGGAGGGATACGTGTGTGGAGCGGCTCAGGGGATGGCTCTTGGCGGAGGGATACGTGTGTGGAGCGGCTCAGGGGATGGCTCTTGGCGGAGGGATACGTGTGTGGAGCGGCTCAGGGGATGGCTCTTGGCGGAGGGATACGTGTGTGGAGCGGCTCAGGGGATGGCTCTTGGCGGAGGGATACGTGTGTGGAGCGGCTCAGGGGATGGCTCTTGGCGGAGGGATACGTGTGTGGAGCGGCTCAGGGGATGGCTCTTGGCGGAGGGATACGTGTGTGGAGCGGCTCAGGGGATGGCTCTTGGCGGAGGGATACGTGTGTGGAGCGGCTCAGGGGATGGCTCTTGGCGGAGGGATACGTGTGTGGAGCGGCTCAGGGGATGGCTCTTGGCGGAGGGATGTCAGTGGGGAAAGGCGGAGGGGATGCTGCTGAGCGGAGGGATATCTCTGGGGGTAGCTGATAGGACATCGCTTGGTGGTGGTATATCAGTGTGGTGAGTAGCTGAGGCGACGCTGCTGGGTGTATGGGATATGGAATAACACTGGGTGTCAATTGCGTGTTTCACTCTCAGGCTTCTATCACAACTTGTAATACTGGGACTTTTGTTTGTTTGTTGAATGCAAGCAATGAAAGACGCCAACTCCCAAATTCTCCCAGGGTTAAAAAAGGCCTTCTTTGTCTTCCAGTACTTCCCCTGTGTTTGAAGGCAGGAAGATCCCTCCATTTCCCTCTAGTCTCTCTGCAGCGGGAAATGACTTTCACCTTCCCACTGTTTGCTGAGGCCTTGCCTGTGGGTATGGTTACACTAGCCCCCTAGTTCGAACTAGGGGCGCTAATGTAGGCATTTGAACTTGCAAATGAGGTCCGGGATTTAAATATCCCAGGCTTTATTTGCATGTTCCCGTTCGTCCGCCATTTTGAAATGCCACTAGTCCGGACTACACACGGTACTTAAATGGTAATTCGAACTAAGTCCTTAGTTCGAATTACCTGTTACTCCTCCTGGAATGAGGATATTGCAATATTCAGGGCAAGGCATATGAGCAGAGGATCAGGGGTGAAGTCACAGACCTGCCCTGGCACTGAGCCCTGCCTTAATGTATGGCCCTGCAGTGTAGAGAGGGCTCTGGGGTAGCAGGGCAGAGGGAGTTGGGGAAGTGGTGCTGCTAAGTCTCAGGTAGGAAAGCCTTGGAGCAGCAGGAGGCAGAGAAGTGTTCCTCCCAGGTTAAAACTGTAATAGAGGATGGATTGCAGTTCCCATACATAAGGGGTGAAGAAGGGCACGTGAATCTTCTCTCTGAGCAGCCAGGGAGAGCAGCCATGTGTGCTTTCTAAGTTGATTTTTGAACTTGAAATGATTACACATAGACAGGTAAAAGAATAGAAGGGAGTTAAAGACAGCTATGAAAACAATTTAATATATAAAAATCAAGATTTTTGGAGCTAGTCTCATTTTTTCTACAGAAATCTGACTCATGATTTTTGGTCTCTTGAGGTTGGCACTACTGCTGAAGGAATAACTGTCCTAATTCGCTGGAGAAGTAGCATCAGAGAAGGGGTTATCTGTGGTGAATGGCTGAGGGGGATACCACTGGGGGCAGAGGAATAGCTACGTTGACTTGCCAAGGGGATAGCAGGGTATATTGATAGCTGTGTTGGAACCTCAAGCTGTCAGTTTTGGGGGATTAGGAGAGAAGGAGTTTCTGTGCACTTTTCGGACCTAGCAAACATCAGTTTGCAGCCAGTCAGCCTAGAGAACGCTGGGGAGAGTTGTGCCTCTATTTTATGGAGCAGCTGCTTTATCACTCATTGCTTTTTGATTATTGTCATTTTGAATTCTAAGAAGTAAAGCAGTGTGCCTGTGCAATCTTCCAGCAATAATGTTTCGTTTTTTCTATCTAACTTCTCTGTTGTTGATAAATTGCATAGTATATTGTTTGACCACACGTTGGTTCGTTATTTCATTATGAATTATACTCAAGAGACCAAATAATCAATGCTAGTCAGCTTTACTAAGATGCAACAGGAAAAAGGTTCCATAAAATACCACTATTTGATCTGAGGAAGTGGGTCTGGCCCACGAAAGCTCATCATCTAATAAACCATCTTGTTAGTCTTTAAAGTGCTACATTGTCCTGCATTTTGCATAAAATACCAGTCTTTGAAGAGCAGTCGTGTGCGGCAATGTTATATTTACCTGCTGCAGCAGTGTTCCTCAACTTATTTTCAGCTGGTACAGTAAAACTCCAATTGTCCAGCATCCAGTGGTCTGGCACTCCTGATAGTCCGGCACCAACTGGAAGTGCTCCAGCCAGCCGGACAATTGGAGCTCCTGTAAGCCCCACATGCGCTCATGGGCCGGGAAGGAGAGGGGAAGGGGATTATACCTGTGACGGGTCTGTCCGGACCTCACTCCTTCTAGCCCAGGGGTGGCGTGGCGGGGAACGGTGCAGCGAGGGGCGAACCCTCCACTGTTTTGCTGGGAGGCGGGGGAAGCCCCGTGCAGCCACCTGCTACAGGCGAGCTGGGGCTGCAAGTGGCAGCAGTGGACTTGGGGAAGCGGTGGGGCAGAGCAGCTGGGGTGCTGCCGGGTTGGTCCCACAGCACTGCCCCTCACCTGAGCGGCGCTGTGGGACCAACCCTGCAGCACCCCAGCTGCTCTGCTCCGCCGCTTCCCCAAGTCCACCGCTGCCACTGCTGCGGTGCCGAGCAAGGAGGTGAGGGGCAGAGCTGCAAGACCAACCTGGCAGCACCTCAGCTACTCTGCTCCGCGCCACTTCCCCAAGTCTGCCACTGCTGAAACTGACGAGTGGCAGACTTGGGGAAGCTGCAGAGCAGACCAGCTCGGGTACTACCGGGTTTGTCCTGCAGCATTGCCCATCACTCCCCTGCTCGGGTATAACTACAGCAGTCTGAGGGGTGGGGAGCCCGCTCCCCTCCCTTCCCAGAAACTCTCGGCTTCCCCCGCCTTCCTGCAAAACAGCAGACAGTTCTCCCCTTGCCACGCTGTTCCCCACCCAGCCCGCAGACGCAGTGTGGGTCCGGCAGACCCATCACAGCCCCTCTCTCGGAATACCTCCTGATACTCTGGCAAATCCGATAATCCAGCACCCCCTGGGTTCCAAAGGTGCTGGATTATCGGAAGTCTACTGTACTATTTATATGATTTTACAAGTTACACATTTCATTATGTAAGTGGGGAAATGGTCCCGCTATTGTAGGGAACTTTCCTGGCTTCTATACTATCCCGGTGAAATGGACCAGTGAAAGGATCTGAGTCCCTGCTCCCACTTCTTTTACCCAAAGGCGTCCCTGACCCTGAGGGCTCCCCTTCCATCCTGCTGAGTAGCAGAGTCCTTGAAATTCCTGGGCTAGGCCCAGGTTTTCTGGGGCTTAATCCCCAACCTTGTAGTCACTTAGGAAAGGAGCTAGGGTGTCCCCACTGCGAGGTGCTCTCTTCACACTGGATGCTTTCTTGACCCAGTGATCATTTCATACAGTTCAAAGTGAATACAATTTATTAAACAGCAACTGATTAAAAAGAAAAGAATAAGGCAAAATGAGAAAGGTTAAATGAAAACACATAGTCCCACGGGTCCAACACAAACAGCAGTTTGCAGAGTATAAGGACAGTTCACAGTCTGTTCCTTATAGGTCCCAGGGCTCTCTCAGGCCCTGGCTGTGCTGCAGGGGGGCTGCAGGCTGGACATGCTTGCTCTGGCAGTGAACACATGACTTCAGGCTCTAGGTGGCAGGACTCCTCTCCCAGTTGGAGTTACAATCCCTCTCCAAGTCTGGCCTGCAGGGCCTCTTGGCTGGTGGTGTCTCTCTGCCCAGAGCCTCTCCCACCACTTTGCTGGTCCCAGCTGCTCACCACACACAGCTGCAGACTGTGCTGCTTTGCCCAACTTCAGCTCCTTGTGTTGCTTCCCTGATCCCTTTGGCTCTCTGGTCACTGCAGGTCTGCTGCTCACCACAGCTTGCACTCCTTGGACTGTGTGTGTCTGGCTCTGTCACTGCAGGCCTGCCCCTCAGCACAGCTTGCACTCCTTGGACTGTGTGTGTCTGGCTCTGTCACTGCAGGCCTGCCCCTCAGCACAGCTTGCACTCCTTGGACTGTGTGTGTCTGGCTCTGTCACTGCAGGCCTGCCCCTCAGCACAGCTTGCACTCCTTGGACTGTGTGTGTCTGGCTCTGTCACTGCAGGCCTGCCCCTCAGCACAGCTTGCACTCCTTGGACTGTGTGTGTCTGGCTCTGTCACTGCAGGCCTGCCCCTCAGCACAGCTTGCACTCCTTGGACTGTGTGTGTCTGGCTCTGTCACTGCAGGCCTGCCCCTCAGCACAGCTTGCACTCCTTGGACTGTGTGTGTCTGGCTCTGTCACTGCAGGCCTGCCCCTCAGCACAGCTTGCACTCCTTGGACTGTGTGTGTCTGGCTCTGTCACTGCAGGCCTGCCCCTCAGCACAGCTTGCACTCCTTGGACTGTGTGTGTCTGGCTCTGTCACTGCAGGCCTGCCCCTCAGCACAGCTTGCACTCCTTGGACTGTGTGTGTCTGGCTCTGTCACTGCAGGCCTGCCCCTCAGCACAGCTTGCACTCCTTGGACTGTGTGTGTCTGGCTCTGTCACTGCAGGCCTGCCCCTCAGCACAGCTTGCACTCCTTGGACTGTGTGTGTCTGGCTCTGTCACTGCAGGCCTGCCCCTCAGCACAGCTTGCACTCCTTGGACTGTGTGTGTCTGGCTCTGTCACTGCAGGCCTGCCCCTCAGCACAGCTTGCACTCCTTGGACTGTGTGTGTCTGGCTCTGTCACTGCAGGCCTGCCCCTCAGCACAGCTTGCACTCCTTGGACTGTGTGTGTCTGGCTCTGTCACTGCAGGCCTGCCCCTCAGCACAGCTTGCACTCCTTGGACTGTGTGTGTCTGGCTCTGTCACTGCAGGCCTGCCCCTCAGCACAGCTTGCACTCCTTGGACTGTGTGTGTCTGGCTCTGTCACTGCAGGCCTGCCCCTCAGCACAGCTTGCACTCCTTGGACTGTGTGTGTCTGGCTCTGTCACTGCAGGCCTGCCCCTCAGCACAGCTTGCACTCCTTGGACTGTGTGTGTCTGGCTCTGTCACTGCAGGCCTGCCCCTCAGCACAGCTTGCACTCCTTGGGCTGTGTGTGTCTGGCTCTGTCCCTGCAGGACTGCCCCTCAGCACAGTTTGCTCTTCTTAGCTCTCTCCCCTTTTCTCAGAGAGACCCAGAAAATCCTCCCAGCTCACACGGAGGATGGGACCAGGCCTCCTAATTTCCTCATTGGCCTGTCCAACCGGTCAATCATGCTGAGCTGGAGTGTTGGCCTCTTTCCATTGTCCCTGGGGTCTGTCAGTCTCATGGACCCTTCCCCTTTTGGTACTGGGAGCTGGCCAACCAAAAACTCCCACTGAGTTTTAGTAAGGAGCTACCAGTCCCCTTACATTTACACTTCATTAAAATCCAACCAATAGTTTGTTCC